TATTGTACCTACTATCATCAACCAAGGAGAAAATATAGAATGAGCGTGTGGTAATAATTCCATATTAATCCGAATCAATCCATACGCTCCCATTTTTAATAAAATTCCGGCTAGAAGCATACAAGTACTGTAATGTGCCTCTCCGTGGGTATCTGGTAACCATGTATGTAGGGGTAGAATCGGTAATTTGACAGCAAAAGCAATAAAAAATCCAATATAGAATATTATTTCCAAAGCCACAGGATACGATTGATTCACTGATGTTTCAAAATTTAATGTTGGTTCATTAGAACCATATAAACCGACACCCAGAACTCCCATTAAGAGAAAAATGGAACCTCCCGCCGTGTACAAAATAAATTTTGTGGCTGAGTAGAGACGTTTCTTTCCTCCCCACATGGATAGAAGTAGATAAACCGGAATTAATTCTAATTCCCACATGATGAAAAAAAGTAAAAGGTCCCGAGAAGAAAATGATCCTATTTGACCACTGTACATTGCTAACATCAAGAAATGGAATAATCGAGAATCCCGAGTAACAGGCCAGGCTGCTAAAGTAGCTAAAGTAGTGATAAATCCTGTTAATAAAACGGGTCCTATAGACAGTCCATCTATTCCTAATTTCCAACGGAAATCAAAAAAATTGATCCATTTATAATCCTCTACTAGTTGGATTAATGGATCGTCCAATTGAAAATGATAACAGAATGTATAGGTTGTTAGAAGAAGTTCTAACATGCATATACATATAGTATACCACCTAATGACCCTATTTCCTTTATGTGGAAGAAATAAAATAAAAGAACCCGCAAATATTGGTAAAACTACAATTATTGTTAACCAAGGAAATTTGTTCGTGGTAAAGACAAGATACACTTGGACCAGAAAAACCTATGCCCAAAAATAAGATATTTTTGAGCACAGGTTTTGGCGGTAAAAAAAAATGGGCTCAAGTAGGGTTTTATGTAACGTATTAATAAGCTATACCCATGCTGCGGGTTGTTTCATGCCATAAATAAACTCGAACACTCAAGAAATCTGTTGGGCAGGCGGATTCACATCTCTTACAACCGACACAATCCTCTGTTCTTGGAGCGGAAGCTATTTGTTTGGCTTTACATCCGTCCCAAGGTATCATTTCTAATACATCCGTGGGACAGGCTCGGACACATTGCGTACACCCGATACATGTATCATAAATCTTTACTGAATGTGACATTGGATCTATCCATTTTTGAACGTGAGAAGGTTTCAATCTAGTAAATTGATAAATGAATTATATATTTAAATACTAGATGAATCGATGAGTTCCCCGAGTTTTTTTATTAATCTACTTCTGGATTGACAGCGCCAAAATACTTTGATTTCGTATATTTGTGATAACATGAGGATACCTTACGTGGCAGACATGCTAATTTGAATTAATTATTAATTTATGAAAATTCTAATTTATATGATAATATTACTTATTCAACAAATTCGATTGATTTATACGAGTTGATTTTCTGTTACGATAAATTGATGAAACAATAGCGAGTCCAATAGCAGCTTCAGCAGCTGCAATAGCTATAACAAAAATGGAGAAAATGGCTCCTTTTAATTGACGACTATCAAAAAAATCCGAAAATGTTACAAAATTGAGATTAACCGCATTTAATATAAGTTCAAGACACATAAGAGCCCTAACCATATTTCGACTTGTAATCAATCCATATAGACCGACAGAAAATAAATAGGCACTCAAAACAAGTACATGTTCGAGCATCATTAACCAACTCCTTATCAATCTCGATTCATTTCAATATGAACAACAATTTAACCAATTGGATTGACTAGAATATAACGAGTAATGGAATAAAGGAATATATTATATTGGGAATAGATCAAACTACTACTAAGAAACAATTTGTATTTTATATACAAAAATAGAAAAAAGGAAATGCATGTGATAGCTCATAACAAGGTTTTTCCCAGTTCTAAAGAGTTATTATTGACGAGCTACAGCAATTGCGCCGATTAACGCAACTAAAAGAATTATTGAAATGAATTCAAACGGAAGAAAAAAATCTGTTGATAAATGAATCCCAATTTGTTGACTATTACTTATCAAATCTTGTTCTATAATCTGGTTTGCTTTTGTAGTCCAAATAATTCCGTACCATGACGTATCTGGAATAGTAGTAATTAGTGAAACAAAAAGACTTGTACATACCACCGAAGTTATTCCATCTCCAACGGTCCAAAGATGGAAATCTTTGGAATATTCTGAACCATTTATGAACATCACAGCAAAAATTATTAAAACATTTATGGCTCCTACGTAAATAAGGAGCTGCGCAGCAGCTACAAAATGGGAGTTTGATAGAATATAGAATAAAGATATACAAACAAAAACCAATCCCAACGAAAAGGCAGAATAAATAGGATTGGGAAGTAATACTACTCCCAGACCCCCTAATATAAGACCCAATCCCAAAAAGACTAAAAGAAAATCATGTATTAGTCCAGGTAAATCCATTATATATAAAATCAGAGATAAATAAATCAAAATCTTTCATAACTTTATTGACCCGGTCAGGAAAAAAGAAGTAACTCTACTTTTTTATAATAGTTCTTATAAAAAAATTCCATTTTCATGGATATGGATTGATGGAGATATAGTTATTGGCTTAATCTCTCGAAAGAGTAATTTGAATCTATATATTTGCAAATCCTCAATATAGACTATAGAAATAGATTTTGAATATAAATTAAAACAGGATTCTCGCCCCCTAATCAATATAATTGTCATTAGTCACCAAATAAAAACCTTCATTCTTTTAGATCAAAATGAGTTCTTAAGTTTTTATTTCAGGCAAATTGAAAATTGTTCGAATTGTGTAATCATCAATTACTGACATTGGTAAACGACCCAAAGCAATTTGATTATAATTCAATTCGTGACGATCATAAGTAGAAAGTTCATATTCTTCAGTCATTGATAAACAATTTGTTGGACAATACTCAACGCAATTACCACAAAATATACATATTCCGAAATCAATACTGTAATTAAGCAATCGTTTCTTTCTAATATCAGTTTCCAATTTCCAATCAACAACGGGCAAATCTATAGGACATACACGAACACATACTTCACAAGCAATGCATTTATCAAATTCAAAGTGGATTCGTCCGCGGAAACGCTCGGATGTGATCAATTTTTCGTAGGGGTATTGAATAGTTACAGGTAAACGATTCGCGTGTGATAAGGTAATCATGAAACCTTGACCAATATACCTTGCGGCTCGTACTGTTTGTTGGCCATAATTCATGAACTCAGTTACCATAGGGAACATATCGTGAATATCTATAAAAAATAGGATACTTGTTTCTTTCTCTTGTTTGAGACAAGTCGTGAATATGAATATAGAAGTATTTTTTTACAGTGAAATAAGTTGGGAACAAGTTGTTAATAATAGATTACCTAGAGAAATAGGTAAAAGAAATTTCCATCCAAGATTTAATAATTGGTCCATTCTCAGTCTCGGTAAAGTCCATCTTGTTGCGATAGGAATGAACAAGAACAAATAAGTTTTAGCTAATGTAATAAAGATACCAATTATTGTTCCAAAGACTCTACCCCTTTTAGTAATTTCAAAAACCTCGGGAACAAATATGTACGGAATAGAAAGATTCCAACCCCCCAAGTAAAGAACTGTTACAAATAATGAAGAAACTAGTAGATTTAAATATGAAGCAACGTAAAATAAACCAAATTTTATACCGGAATATTCGGTTTGATAACCTGCTACTAATTCTTCTTCTGCTTCTGGTAAATCAAAGGGTAATCGTTCACACTCGGCTAGGGAAGAAATTAGAAAAACTAGAAAGCCTATAGGTTGACGCCACAAATTCCATCCCCAAAAACCATATTTTGACTGCGCTTCAACTATATCAACTGTACTTGAACTGTTAGATAATCATAGTGGATGATAACATCACTGTTCCCATCCCTATTCCAGAACCGTACATGAGATTTTCATCTCATACGGCTCCTCAAAGGTCACAAATAAATCTAAGGACCCGTCTATTATTATTTTTCTTGATATGTTTGTAGGATATATAGAGAGAAAATCAAATCCATTGTAAGGTCCCCATTAGACACTGGAATTCTGTTTGCTATATTTATAATAAAGTGCTTCTGAATTCATCTTATCTTTTAATAATTTAAATTCTTCTTTGTTGAGTAATAACTTAATCCTTGAATAAAATGTTTCTTGTAGCAATATCCATAGATATTTCAACCTAACGTTTTTAATTAC